AGACCTGGTCCCTCTCGGTAGGGTAACAAGGGAATGTGCTCAGTGCAGATCAGTGAGTAAGCACAAGCCCGCCTTGTTTCAGTACCTATGCTTAAACTGCCCCCTGGCTGAACACTCTTCTCTTTGGCTTCCTGGGTTCCACCCCTTCCTCCTGCTCTTGTTTCAGTACCTGAAACAAGAATGCCTATTATTTACCAAATATGGGGCATTAATCTCCCCAGACCAGGCAGTCTCTGGGGAAGCCAGATCCCACATCTGGCATTGTTGCATTTTATCTGAGTACAGAAGTTAGAGGAAGAATTAGTGTTTCCATGGGTCCACGTCTAGAAGCATTACGTTGGAGATAGTGGTGTTAGGAAGTAAAATAAAGGTGAGAGCAGCTAGGCCTCTCACAGAGCAAGCAGTTAAGACTTGGGAAGGCAGAGTGTGCTGGGACGGTCTAAGGGGGTGCAGAAACTACTTTTTGCACATAATGCATCTGCAGAAATAACGTGCACATACATAAAAGACATAGAGTACACAGGAAACTAACACACAAGGAGGTTGGTTGCACGGTTTGCACCAGGATAACGTGTGTCATTTGGGTGAACTATGGTGGATCTGATCCACGTGCTCTCAGTAAACATTGGTTTGTTCAGTGAGTGCTGTTTGGAATGTAAAGGCCAGGTCTCTGATGGACTGGGAACATCGCTAACGTTTTATCTGATGGACTGGGAACGTCGCTAACGTTTCACGGTGAGTGCCATGAGAGCGATTCTTTTTACCTTGCACATTTTCTCTTTTGACAGAACATGGGACTTTGAGGATAATAACATAACCTTAAACCGTGTTGTTGCCTATTCTTTTCTATTGTTATGTTTTAGGCTATGTCGGTAATTTTTAAAAATGTGCTTGTTCTACAGACCATTGTGATGAACGACTGTATTATCCGAGGGGATCTGGCAAATGTAAGAGTCGGACGCCATTGTGTTGTGAAAAGTCGTAGCGTCATAAGGCCACCGTTCAAGAAATTCAGCAAAGGGTGTGTAGTTTTATTACCTTGCTTCAGTCTTGGGGAAGTGGCTGCTATCCATGTGTTTGATTGTAGTGTAATGAGCAGGCCCTATCCTGTTGTTTAGGGCACTGGGTAAGAGTTCACCATAATAAACAACTCTGTTAGTAGTTGTCTTAGTGTGAAATGGTTGGTTGCCAGAAACAATCCACTTAAGCAAAAGCAAAGGGGGCTCTAAATCAACCAGACCTCGTGGACTGGTCAAGACTAGAAGACTCCTCCAGACTGCTGTTCTGAGGTATTCTTCAAACCTTGAACCAAGTCTAACCCCTGAGGTTACCTTGTAGCTAAGTAACAAATTGGCTCACAAAAGAATGAATATCACTTGTAAGTACTGTGCTCCTGTAAAAATCACCTGCGTGAGACAAAATGATTAACAGTGACTTTAAAACAAGATGAGGACATGAGGGGGCAGGGAAACGAGGTTAATGGAAAGGAAACAACCAGAACGGGAATAATAAGAATGTTTATGCATTGGGAAGAGTGTAACCAAACACTGAACAACTCATGTAGAAATTGTTGAATAGGAGCCTAAACTGTTCTGTGAACCTTCACTGAAAACACAGTAAAATATTGTTAAAAAAAGAATACAAAGGGGCCTCTGATTAAACAGACATGGACATACTTGATGGAACCTAAGGGTAGAAAAAGGAGCTGGGCCTCACCAGGGACTGGAACCTGGAACTAGACAGCCAGCATCAAGTCAACTGCTCTATCTACCTACCTTCTCTGTCTCTGAGATAGACTGTTTCTATCTCTCCTTCTCTCTGCACTTCTGCTTCCCTCTGCTCTCTGTCAGGCTGGCTGTCTCTGTCTCCTTTCTTCTCGAAGCCACCTCTTCTGGCTTAGCCCCTTATTTATATCACTTCTCCATTTTGACTTTTGATAGACACTAACTAGAGTTCTTACATCTCAGTTCCAAATTCTTGGGAGAGAGCATCTGATTGATTAGGTACCCACCCATTTTAAATGGCTATGACCCAAAGGGCAGCATTAAATCAGACCCAAATGACCCCTTGGTGGGAAAAAGGACTGTACAAGAAGGGACATGGGAAGGAGACCTGGCCAAGATGCCTCCTGGGGTGGTATTCTCTTTGCCTCTTGGCTAACTTGCCCTCCTGGTTCCTACTTAAGGCACAGTCTGCATCTCATTCAATAAATCAACAAATATTATTTAGTACCTTCCTTATATGGAGCTCTGGTGGCGTAGTGTGTAAGGCTTTTGACCACCAACCAGAAGGTTGAAGATTCAAACCCACCAGCCACTTGGCGGAAGGAAGACTGGGTAATCTACTTCCGTAAAGATTTACCGCCTTGGAAACCTGAAGGGGGTTGCTGTGAGTCGGAATCAGTTTGATGGCAGTGAGTTTAGTGAGTACCTTTCTTATGCCAGCCCCTGGGCTATAAACTGGGCATTTAAAGATGGATAAGACAGAGTCAGATTTCCTGTGCTCAGAGTTCCCAAAACCCAATGGTAGAAGCAAGGTAGTTAATATATAATGTGACCAGTGCTGTCACAGAATGTGAACACAGCCATGGAGGCATAGATAAGGGAGCAGCTAATTCAGGTCAACTGTAATACCTACTGAGGAGCTCTGGTGATACAGTGGTTAAAACATTTGGCTGCTAACCAAAAGGTCAGCCACTCCATGGGAGTAAGATGAGGCAGTCTACTTCCACAAAGATTTATAGGCTCAGAAACCCTAAGGGGCAGTTCTGCTATGTCCTCTGGGGCGCTGTGAGTCAGAATCAACTTAATAGCAGTGGGGGATTAGACTTGCTACATCTGGATTTTGAGAAAACCTAGGAGCACATCATGCAGAAATAATCCTACATTCCCCATAATGATGCTGGGCTCCAGGCTTTCCGTTATATCCCGGAATTAGATTGTAAATCATTCCCATGAAAACAGAGGGCTTTCAGGGCCAAAATGGAAAACATTTTGGTACCTTTTATGGTTTTATACCAACTGATACTCCACTAAAGTTCATGACATGACCTTCTGACAGAGGCATTATTGGGCTGGATATGGTCCAGAAAAAGGCCTGAGAATGAACAAGGGTTTTATTGGTAAATAGAAGGATATATAGGTAGGAATAGTCCACAGGAGAAGTATATAAACATAAAAGTTGTAAATAGCATCACATGAATAGGTGAATGTGGCTTCCCCCCTCTGCATAGCCCAGTACCAGACCCAGAATACTACACAGTTTGGAAATTTTACTTTGAAATGCAAAGATTTGGAGGTGCTGAGGTACTGGTGAGATTAAGGGATTTGTTGCTGCACAAGGGGAATGGACTAGTAATATTCATGGATTAAGAAAGAAATGACAGGCCCAAATCTATCTAATAGACAAAATACCCAGGTCTCACATAATAGAACTCAGGACTGAGCAGGGCTTGTAAGCATATAGCTACTTTTTATTAGTTCTGGTACAAATGTTTTACATCCCCAGGTCCTGAATATGATCACAAAACCACTGTCAGTTACATTTCAGGAATCCTAGGTATGAGTCAGAATTGACTCGATGGCAGTGGGTTTGGTTTACTTTTTTTGGTAGAGAGCGAGAATGTGGAAAATGGTGGTGTGGACATCATCTGATACCTAACTTCCTGATGTAGAGAGAGAATCATTGACAGCTCAAGGCTGATTCCTGTGAGGTGAAGGTCAGACAGGTCTCTGTCCTCCAGCCTTTTTACCAATTCTGACACCAACAGTCCCTCCCACAGCACTCTCTTCTTCCAGCTAGGTTCAGTAATTCATTGCAATGACCACAGAACTTACAGATCATACTGATGGGGTTTATTAGGGAAGTAACATGTTACAATTCAGGATCGACTCAGGATACAGTTCTTTGATCAGGACAGCTTCTTCCCGGCTATTCCCACATGCACACCTCTCTTAGCCTCTCAGCCCCCCGGGCCTCTTATTCTGGCCTGGCCTCTGCTCTGCAAGTGTTTCACAGCTGTTATAGTTCTGCAGATAGGTGTCTGGAGGCAGCCCACTCCTTCAGCAAGCCTCCTGCCCAGAGGCACTCAGTGCTCTCCCTCCATAGGCCAGAAAGCCCACTGCACCATCTCCTGCCAGCCTCCCAGTCCTACTGGTCACTGTTTGTTGCTGTCTCTGGTGGTACAGTGCTCTCTGTCTGTCTGCCGCATCTAGGAGGTTTCCAGTGCAGGAACCCTAGGTCCAGAGGACACGTACCACTCCCAACTCTTCTTGAAGATAATGAGATCCCCTCTCTGCTTTGGAGTTGGCTATCAGGATGGCAAAACTGGCCAATCCCCTCCTTAGGGTCCCATATACCTTATTTGCTAGGTCCTACTCCCACAT